TTCACCTGTGCTGCATATTATACGTATGCATGCGTATATATGTGGAAACACAAATACTCAACTGTTACTCATTTACTTGGTTCTGTTCTCTTGGGCTGAAAGCAACAGCCACGTAAGTGAGGATGTGATACTAAACCCAGAAGAAGCTATCATGCCTGAAAAAGGTGACCTGTTAATTCTGACATGCATTGCTACTTACAGAATTGACTTCTGAAAATTATGTTATCCAGAAGCAACTTCGTACTTACAGTCGTTATGCATGTTCATAGTAGGAACTAAATAAGGAATAGATACAGTATGCGACTGTACTGTTACGTTTTTAGTACTGTTCGTGACAACAGTTTTGGCCTGTGCCAGCTAACACTTTCCCAGCTAACACTTTCCCAGATAATGCCCAAGCATAGTTCTGGGGTTAGGAGAGACGATGGACCATTTCCAAAAGGCTGCTTGGATCTGGCCAGGCTTTTTCAGAGGGATTTTAGGTGTCCAGCCACGAGCTGTACCGTGCTTGCTGCTTCCAAGCCCAGAGAATGGCTGTGTGCCCTGGTCTGGTTTATTTTCTGACATACATGTGGCCTCAGGTTCTGCTTTCCAGGAAGCTGGGTTTCAGCAGCTTCTCTGGTGGTAGGAGTGTCTTCATGTGCGTAGAAGGCTAGGAGAAAAAATTATGTCCAACCTGAAAGGAGAAGCTGTGTCTGGAAAGCTGGAAAAATAAACCAGAGCAGCTTGAAATGATAGAATAATTGAGTTTCATATTGTTTTCGTAAGAAAAGCCTCAGGAAATATACAGGTGTAATTAGCCATTTTGAAAGTACTAGTTTTTTAAAAAATATTTATAAAGAATTACCGGCTGTCATTTTGAATCAAAATGAATAAATTAAATGTAAGCAGATGGCATCTGCAGTGTCTTCAACCAGAGGATATATATCCTGGAGGTAGTGTAAAACCTATCCCTGTCCTAAGCTTTACCTTCTGTTAACTACAGGAGCAGTAGCAACCTGCTAGTGCAGACCTGAGTTGGCATTATATTTAGGTTTTCCCTGGGGAATCCCTGTCTCAAGAAGATGTTTCGCCCTCTTCTAATTGTCTGATTGCTTCCTGTGAAGAAGGTGCAAGTCTGGTTTTATATTTAGTCAAAACTATAGGGTATGGAGGGCAGTTGTGTGGGGTTTTTCCTTTTTTTTTTTTTAAGCAGGGTTAAAGCCATTGAATTTTAATGATTTAGCAGTGTGGTTCTAACAGACAAGTCATGAGTTGACTCCAGTCCATGGAGTGCTTCCATTTGTCTCTCACCTCTCTTCTGTAGATGAGGATGGTGTAGGTTGCCTGGTGAACTGGCCATGTATCCCCACACCTGAAAGCGGTCTGGCAATCAGAAATTTAGTTCCTGGTCCCTGTGCGGACAGTGATGGGCCAAATGCCATTCCTGGGCTGCAAATTCGTGTTGTGGTTTGTGGTGTGAGAGGAGAGAACTGAAGTTCTGATTGGGATGCTTTAAGGATGAACTGCCCTGAATTACCTGCCATTGACATCTCTTTCATCTTTCTGCATAATATTTAAATAGTACCAGCTTGGTAGCAAAGGCTTCAGTGAGTCTGTGCTTTTTCAGAACATACAATGTTGTGTTCTGCTGCTGCTCCTTTTTTATTTTTAATACTGAAAATACAGATTTCATTTTGGAATATATACTTTCTACTTTTTGGGTGAAGTACTTCTAAAACATGAAATAATGTTGTTGCCTAGGATTAGGATTCAGAGTCTTGCTTCTGACACACATTTCATCATACTTAACTCTTCTGTTTCGCCTTTGTACTGCAATATTATGTAGTCCATTCTGTAATGTGACTTCACTTAACTCTTGATTTGCAAGTAGAATTAATGTAGCATCTTTGCTATTTATGCTTTGTTGAACACTGATCATATAGCCTTAATTATTTCTTACACAGCAGGAAACTTTCAAAGTAGCAGCTGTCTTTTGCCTCAACTCAAATTGGTTGTGGACTACGACTGCTTAAATCCCGGGGTGGATAATAAGCTTTACTCCCAGCAGGTCCCCCAGACTACTACGCCAAGGTTACCCAACTGACTCTGTGTTTCATTCTATAAATGCATTTTAACTAGGGATAAGTTTCCTTTACGGGATGCTGCCAAAACAGTAAAAGAGAATTTTCTCTTTTGCATTAACATGTGGTGGTTGTCTTCCTTGTTGACATCCTTGCCTCAGAGCAGCGTCAAGCTTTTTGCTAAGATTTTCAGAGTGTCTGTTTATTTCTGTCTGTTTTTATCATACTGGTGTTTAAGAAATGATCGCTTGTAAATTCTCCTAAGGAGGACAGCAGCTGTTAATAACCATGTTTCTTACCCCATGTTTAGGTCAGAATATTATCATTATATCATTATTTATATCATATAATATATATGATATATCATAATATCAGTATTTAGGTGTTTTATAAACATAGTAAAATGTTGTCCTTCTTCATTCCCTCTGGCTATATCAATCTTGGACTGCTTATGTCAACCTGTAAGGGAACAGTTCTGTTTTAAAGACCTAGAACTGGAAATTTGAAGCTTTTTCAGTCAGAGTGGTTTATCCTTTCTCTCCCATGGCAGTTGCTTTCCTACTTGACAGAATTTATCTCAGTCCAAATGTCTTACCTCAGTGAACTTTGCAGCTTGTTCCACCCAGTTATTGCTTGAAGCAATAACTTCACAAGCACAAGAAGGAAGCACAAGTACTGCTTCCTGGCAGCTGTCCATAGTTGTCTTTTTTAATGCCATGTCACACCTATTCATCGTAGTAACTCTATGAATTGGACTGACATTTTTTTTGATTCTCCTCCCCATCCCACCGCAGCGGGAGTGAGTGAATGGCTGTATGGTACTTAGTTGCTGGCTGGGATTAAACCATGACAACATTCCATTTAAGATCAATTTTGTTCTAGACTGAAAGAAATTTGGATATCTCGGGTAAATTGTAAAAAAAGGTTAAAAAGCAGACTTCCAGGATGTAATGCGTATTTTGTTAAAAATTGAATTTCATGCTAGCTAGTACTTAAGTTGTGCTTAGGACAGCTATTCTGTATAATTCGCAAAGTTTTTGTAATTCCATGAACAGGAGATAACTCCTTGATAGTTGCTGGTTTCTTGTTTCCAAAATGTAGTTTTCCTCTATAAAAATGTGTTTTGACTTCTGAATTAACTGTGCTGTAGTCTGCTTTTCAGTCTGTAAGCTTTTTGTGAGTATATTTTGTACCTGTGTCATGTGAGAGCACTTATTGTCGCCAGCACTCTTAATTTTCTTGAAATAAGCCAAGTTATATAACAGAACAAACTGGTCTAACATTAAAATATGGAAATTATAAATATAGCTCAAGAAAACTCTCATTTACCTTTCCTTTGGTTTGTGTTCTCAAGATTTTTAATCAGCTCACTAGGTTTAGCTCTGATGAACATACAGTTCTTTTATGTTATTTCACTTCTTACAGCAATTTTTTATTCCATAGAGGTTTGTTTTTTTCTGTCCCACTTGATCAGTTTAAAGGTTTCTGGCAATTTTTTACCATAATTAAACTTTTAAGTCATGTTTTATAATTAATTAATTTTCCTGAAAAACATTTCTGTTCAAATACTTCTGTAGATGAATTTGAAGGGAACGAAATAGTTGTTCACTCTCAAATTATGAGTTTTGTGCATATTTCCATTTAATACTTACAGAAAGAAGCAGACATTTAGTACCTTTTTTCCCTCACTAAGGTCTTTTTACTTCTGTTTTCTTTCTTGTGGTAACGGGTTATGAATTCAGACTGAGTTGCCTGTGGCTTCAGTGACTAAAACCTTTCGCATTGTTGAACTCCTTCTGGGGTGGATCAAATAAATGGATCAGGTCATGGGTCAAATAAATACAGTTCCACAGGTATCTGCTTTGGTAAGAGGTATTTAATTGATTAATATATTTAAGGTATTTAGCTAACAAATAGTTTCCTCCCCTTTCTCAAACTGACGCAGGGTCTTTCTTCATGTTGTGACATTCCAAAGCCAGCTGATGTTATGTCAGCATAGTCTGTGCTAGACTTGCCCTTTCAAAGCTAAATTCCACCATTTTTATTTCTGACAATCATCTAAATTTCACAGTCCTCTTTCTTTGCTTGAATGTTTCTGTTTCTGTTCTTTCAGTTTCTTCTTCCCACCTGTAATCCTTCCTCAGAATTTTCATCCATTCTCTTCTACCACCTTCACTTTCATTCCTGCTAGTAAATCTGCTTTGGTTTCTGTTTAACATGAATCTTGTGGTTTTGCATAACCACTCTTTCCAGTTCACTTTTAATACACAAAGCTTGGAAAATACCTAATGCTTAGTAGCTTGGGAGTTAACACGGTCTGGTAAGTGGGATGCCCTCTTTGAAACTTTTTCAGGGATGCTCATTTAATTAGTGCTGGTGTTCTCAAGTCTCAAGCTTATCATTTTTGTTGTGTCAAGAGGGAAAGGGTCATGTTTTCATATGTCTTCAGTAAATGTTGTAGAAAACAATGGTATGTAGAGCTGGTTTTTGCAACCTGGCAGGGCTGGAGGGTCAGAAGTTGACTCTTACCACATCACCACTCTGTAGTAAATGGTGGTTTTCTGAGTTCCATGAGGTGCTTCCAGTCCTTTCTCTGTCCTAAGGTGTTCCTGCTTTGCGTGTTCTCTGATGCTCCCTTCCCAGCTTCTTTCCCATGTAAGCTGCATCACTCTCTGGAATCTAAGTGTTCCAAACATGCTGACAGTAGCTCACTATCCTGATGTGTTGTCCTATGAGTTTGCCAGCCTGTGTATTGTACTGTTGTACTGTGTACGTTTGGTTTGGGTGAAACACATGGAAGAAGATACCTTGCAGCAGTACTTGTTGCTTTAAAAAAAAAAAAAAGAAATTACTGTGTTTTGAAGACATTTAAGTAATTTTTGTGACTTGTAATTGAGTTTCATTAATAATGATTCTTTCAATTTTTAAAATCCACAGATTGCAGCCTCTCTCTAAGTATCGGGAAGGATCTGGATAATCTTCAGCCAGGTTAGAGTCAACTCTGTACTTTTCTGTCTCTCACAGAACAGCTGTCTAGCAGATTTGAATGTCATAAATGATAAATGAATACTCAGACTCCCTTGAACAGCATCCTGTTATGTAGCTTTACTGTTGCAGCTAACTGGTCCTTTCAAAATGCAATCTGGGCATTATAGTCTCATTTTGAGGTTTTTATTTGTTTGCTTTTGTTATTATAGAACAACAACTGAGAATTATTCTTGCCATTTACTTTTTTTCATTTACTCCACTGTTTGTTTTAAATCATTTTACTGTTATCGTTCTGGTCTGTGTAAACCCTTGGGACAGAATTGGCCTAGGCAGAGAATGGGACTTGTTCTAATGCCTTTTGTAGTCCTAATCTGTGGTTAGTTTTTTTTTGTTTTCTTTTCTTTTGGTTTGGTTGTTTGGGTTTTCTTAGACCTTCTACAGCCTTTTTTTTTTTTTCCCTTTTCCAAATCTTGACCAGATTCCCATTAAACTCTCTGAATATAAGTTCTAAGCGTCCTCTGTTGTTGCAAAAGTGGAGAGAATTTGCAGCTAGCAGCGAACTAAAACAAGGCTGAAAATAGACATTTTTCTTCTAGAGAAAGGGAGTTCCCTGACTTGACCAGCTATTAATTTGTACAAAGGTTTGTTTACCCAGAGGAGCTATTCCTAATTAGTTCCCTATGTGGGTGCTCTACTTGGGAAATTAGTGTTACATTCTGATTTAATTTAATATGCTTTTATAATGAATTGTTACAATTTGCAGCAAGGAATTTATTTTTAGGAGGTTAAAAAAAATCCTGCACTGCCCCACTTATAAGTTTCAAAAACTAATTGTTAGACAGTGATCAAGCACCCTTGCTATTTTGAAATTAAATGAATAAAAATCCATTGTTAGATTAGAGACAGGTTTTGTTCATAACTATAAATATACCTGCACAAACACAATCAACATGTTTTCCAAAGCCAAAGCTTAATTCAGCTGATTTATAGATCTGATGGCTTGACCTCTGCTTTGTTGTAGTTGTGAGGATAGTAAACCCCAGAGTTTTTGGGAAGAGTGTTTTTGGAGTTACATTAGCATTGAGGCTATGGTTGAAATGGAAGTGCACTTGTGAGCTTTTCTGTAGTGAATGTCTTAAACTGATTCCACATTTGTTCTAAGAGCAAATTTGCATCTCTAAGTTTTTTTTTTTATGTAAGAGTTGAAAAAGTAGTAAGAATAGCTGTCCCTGTAGATCCTTATGAAGGACTTGTGGTCCCCTTGTTTTCCTCTTAGCCTCCCTCTACCAACACTTGCAGGAAAAAAAATTGTCACTATTTAAACTGCATTCTTTATTTCAGTAGTTTCAAGATTGGAAAATTCATTTCTTCAAACCACTTTAACCTGATCTATTTCAACGTAAAGATTGTTTGAAATAAATACAGCTTTTGCAGTAAAATGCTAAATGCTTTGGAGTTGTATTCTTATTTTTGACCTTTCATTATTACTTCTTTTAATTCTCAGTATATGCATACCAGTGCCAGTATGCAGTACCAGTGCTGGTAACAGCTCACTATAAAACCCAAATTAAATTGAATATGTTCTGCAGAATTCTATAGGACAAAAATTAGTTTAAGGACCTGATCATTTCAACCCAGCAGCATTTTTGAGTGGTACTGCTGCAAAAATTTTTTGGATGTTACAAATTTCAGTTTGAAAAGAGTAATTTCTGATTTCCATGAATATTTCCTTTTTAAGAGAAAGTCTCATCTGAAAATAGGGAGAAGGGGAAAACACAGTGATTCCAAGTGTAATCTTGAATATTTTTCATGACAGACGGACGTTGAATGTTTAGCATCATTACTTCTTTGGATTTTTGAATGTGAATTGGAACAGCTGTATTTCTAGGTAAGACATAACCAAGTGGTCTTTTTAAGTATCCCCTTTCTTTTATATATGAATTGTGAGAAAGCTAGAGTGCAGTATGCTGGACCTTACTTTGTACAGAATATTTATCTGTTTGTGGAATGAATCCAGTGTTATTTGAGCTTTTAAATAGTAACAGTTTAATTGTCCTAAATTTTTATAGTCCCACAGGGAAACCACACCAGCAAGTCTGCTTTGTCTCTTTGTGTTTTTGATTTAATTTTATCATCAGGTGTGTAGTTGCTTGATTAGTGCAGTGCCAGAGTGGCAGTTCGGTTCTGTCTGCTCCTTCTCTTGCATCACCATCCTTCAGAGTGTGCTGGTTTAGGTATTTTGCTGCTGAAAATCTATGGGATTGCAAAGACTTCTCAGAGGAATAAATTTATGACAGTTTAGACCTCTGCATCAGCCACTGTGGACTCAAACATGTACTGGTGTCTATGCAAGAAAATCAGTGACAGTACTTGCAGCAACAAATTGTTTTAGTGGCTTTAAACTTCTTGCTTCTCTCTGCCCCGAGAAAAGGTCTCATACGTGAGGAAGACTATGAAAGGGTTGTGAACAGCTGCAGACTTCAGTATCTGAGAAGGAAGCAGAGGGTGATAGAGATGTGCTAAAAGGTATTGATCTGTAGGCATAATCACTGAAGATTACCATTTTCTTAGTGAAATAATAGAGGTCATGCTATTTTGGCTACTTCTGTTTACTGCATAGACTATAGGGAACAGAAGGGGGATCTCATTGTCACAGTTCACACGTAGCCAAGTCATGGTAAGCACTGTGCTGGGGCTCCGGGGCTACAACTTGCAGACACTAGTTCTGCTGGTTCTGACCCAAACCTGCTGCTGTTTGCCAGCGCTTTCTGGCCTGCTGGGAAATGTGAAGCAGACATGACATTTCAGCTGGGTGGGTGCAGCATGGAACACTTAAAATCTGAGAAGTAACGATATCTTACTTTACTGTTGGAAGTAAGGCTATGCAAAATGGTAGCTTCCATCCAGTGGTTTCTCATAGAGAAGGGAGCCATCGAGTATGGAGAGGACTCCTTAAGCTAACTCTACTTTGTCATAGAATCATAGAATGGTTAGAGTTGGAAGGGACTTTAAGGATCATCTAGTGCCAACCCCCTGTCACAGTCAGGGACACCTTTTACTAGACCAAGTTGCTCAAAGCCCCATCCAGCCTGGCCTTGAACACTTCTGGGGATGGGGCAGTAACAGTGAGTGCTGTTATTAATTCAGCTGCCATGAGAAGCCTCCAACCAGTGGTGCTGTGGCAAATGACCACAAAAACTTAATTTTTTTGCAGGTAAAACCAAGCCCAGCATGACAGCAGGCCAACTGTCAAAGCAGGTTTGCAGTAGCCAAGTGAGCCCAGGGATCTCAGTGGCAGTCTGTCAAAGTAAAGGTGTTTGCTAATCATGTGGATGCTTGTTCAGAAGAAATAAAACTGCCTGGGGAGGCGTTTGGAAGGTGCAGAGATTCATTAATTTAAGACCATAAGGGTTTCTGGTGAATGTGGAACCAACATAGTTGAAAGACGGTGATATTCCTGTTTTTCATTTCACTGGATGAGCAAACAAACCCAAGTCCAAGAGAGGAGGTGGATGTGAGGGGTGGAAGGAAAGACTTACTAAGATGAAAGGCTAAAGCCTTCAGTTTCTGCAGTATAGATTATTCTGTTTTACCTTGTAAAATAATGGAGTGATACTTGTAGGGACTGTATACTTAACCAGTGAAGCTGCTTTGTGTATTTTATTTTATATTTTTCTCTTTTAAAAGGCCTTCCAACCTTCTATTTTGTTACAATCATAAGGAATTTAAAATAGGAATTATGTATATGACACCTATTATATAAAGATAGCATTTCTACTAAAGTTTAAGGCCCATTCTACTTCTTAAATGAGGAGTGATCTTTCTGAACTGGAGAGAAGAGGATCTCAAAAATGTGTGCTCTTCATGGGCATATCCACTCTTGTAGGGGGGAGAAAGATGAACTGAAGGATGATTGTGGAGATAGGACAAGTAGAGTGGAAAGAATGAAAGTTAAAAATGGTAGGAGTGGATATTCTAACATGTCAGAGAAACAGGAAATTATAAGAAATTGAGTATGAACGGAGGAAATAGAGATTTATTAATTGTGGATTCCTTTAAATTTAACCTATACAAAGTTAATATTACCATAGTGGTGTTCACTGCTTTCATTAATTCAGTTCGTAGGAAGTAATTAACTGGTGGGAGCTAACACTGGTGGGAAATTTTTTTAGCATTCTTTTTCTTGTTAAATTTTTGAAGTCTGAAGTGTTTGCTGTTGGAGACCTTTGACTGATATTAAGACAAATTGTTTTTTTTCAAAATTAAACTCTTAGTTATGCCTTTAATGACCTTAAAGTTTGACTCTTTCAGAAGACTATGACAAAATGGGGACTGTAGAAGCATCTAAACAGGGGTTTTATTTCTGGAAGAAAAGGTTCTGGAAATCAAACCTTAATGTGGCAGTGACAGGCCAATAATAATTTCTAAATACTAACGCAGCAGAAGAAATTCTTTGTGCTCTTAGCTGTGAGCTGTTTGAACTGTGTTGAAAGTCTTACATGATGAGGTTTTTCATTTCTGTTGATGGAAAGAGAAAGATTAACTCTCATAGGCTGTGTTTAAAATGACCAGTATCCTTTACAACTGTTTTGAATAGTATGACATGAAATGTTATTTTAATTCTCCATAATTTGAATTTTCTTATTAGGTTAAATATATGTATAACTGTTCACAGAAATGGTTTGTGTGTACATATGCGTGTCTATGCTGTTCTATTAATGTTGTTTTTTAAATGACCTTAGGGGTCAGGAGAACAGAGAGAGTAAACTAGTTTTCGTTTTCAATTCCCTGTTTTCTAAGAATACATAGGAAAGATTCTTAATGAAATAATATGATAGCAGAAGTTGAAAGATGAACTGTGATGATACTTTTCAGGTCTTTGGGTGGCAAGCATTTTTTTTTAAATAGTAGCTGGATGACAAGTATTGGGCATAATTTTCTACTAAAGCCAGTGTGAGCTGCAAAGATGAAGTTAGCAGTGCAGAAACACTGAAGATTAAGCCTAATTCACAAAATTAAGTTGCATTCCTGGATTGATGCTTAGGTGCCAGAATTAATATCTAAACCTGAATCTATAGAGTGAATTTGCACTTCCCACGCTGTGTCCTTTAATATCACTGCAGACCATGATATCTAACTACTATTAACTTCTACTACTTCTTGTCTACCTTGATAAATTGAGGAGCACTGTGGTTGTGGAACTTCAGAATGCATTTCAGACATTTTTTTAGAAAATATTTGGAAGTTCACAAGAAACAAGATGTAATGTTTCATATCTGTTACTGTGCAGACTTTGAAAAATGTTCTTTTTTTTTATGTTCAGAGAATATCTTATACAGATGTGTTCTTTACTGTCATGAGGAATACCATGTAATGAGGAGTTTTCAATACAGGTTACTAGTTAATTCATTGCTAGGTATTGTACAGATTTATATTTCAGGGAGAAATGTGCAGAAAGATACTATAGTAACTATAGTTGGTTGCCTTGCATTGTTGGCCAGATGTGTTTTCCAAAGAACTGGGCACACTCATTCTGGAATTCAGCTTCAGGCTTGATTTTGGTCTGTAGTGGTAGACTGTGACTCAGAGCCTAAAATTAAAATGCTTTTCCTGAATTTTGCATTCTCAAAGGAGGATGGTTTCCCGGCAGGTGTTGATGCGACATTGCTAATTTAAGGCAGTGAAACTTACTGGAGTTCTTGAAATTAAGAGTATAGTTTTCCAGAGGTAGCAAAAGATGAGATTCTGTTGTCTTCTCCTGAAACATAGTTCTAATTTTCCACCAATAGTAAAAAGTAGGGTTTTCTGTTATATTTACATAGAATAGAACCATAGAATCAGCTATGTTGATTTAAGATAATCATGTCCAGCCTTTGTTCAAGGACTGCCAAATCCACCACTAAATGATGTCACTATTTTTTAAATAAAAAAAAACACTTTAAAAGATATTTTTGTGTCATGAAATTTTCTTTTTTTTTTTTTTTAACAAAGTTCACCTTCATTAACAGAACTTGCTGACTTCCTTCCTCAGCTGCAGTTCTTCCTACATTCAGAGGTCAGAGAAGAGCAGCATCAACAAGCCACACATCTGGCTGTCTCTCTTTCCAACTGGAACAAAGAAGCAATTTTTTTTTAATAGCTTTTTTTGAGTTAATTGTAAACAATTTGTTTTTGGAGTCGCTGACTTGCAGCAAATGTTTGTCGTAGGTGGATGTAGGGAAAAAGGGCTATGTCCTGATGCAATTCCCCTGTGGCCAGGAAGGGGAAAAAAAAAAAAAAAAAATCACTGAAGAAAAAAAGCCAGGAATGCCTTGATTGTTGTAGCATTAAAGCATGCTCAGAATTTTGAGTGCTTTATAGGACATTTCACAAGCTTATAATACATGATTTGATGAGACAGAGAAACAGAAGTAGTTGCTCATTTCATTTTTCTGTATTTTTGTATACAGTAATACTGATAATTGTCTTTTTCTGCTTCGTTTTCAGTAGTATGAACAAATTGACAGTGATAAATGACCAGAGAAAGCAATAGGAATGTTGGGGGAGTAAACTACTTTAAAATCAGAATTCTGTTCTAATACTTTTTTCTTGTATTTATACTGTTCCTAAATGCTTTTTTTCCCCCAGTAAACATTTCTCAAAAAACTATATTTACAGTTATTAATCCTTAAGTAATATTTTGAAAACTAATCCTTAAATAATTAGTGAAACGTAGTACTTACTTTCCCAATTATTGTATTTTTAAAAATACCCTCTAGCAATCGGTAGCATCAAGTTACCTAATCTATTAGAATTACTTTTATTGAAGTGCTGTATCTGAAGTAAAGTAGGCATCTGGTGTGACTTTTGTACTTTCATACTTGACAACAGGAAATACTGGAATTGTTG